GGTCTTTTTGAGACAGGATCTCCCTGTAGCCCTAGCTGTCCTGAAACTCATTATGTAGACCAGGCTGGCCTTAAACTCACAGAGATCTGCCTGCCTCTGCCTCCTGAGTGCTGGGATTAAAGGCTTGCGCCACCACGCCCGGCCTCATCATCTCTTTTTAGCTGGAAGTATATATTTCATTAGATGACAATAAGACAGATCTGTCATTTTCTTGCTGTGTTTTCATGAATCTCCTCCTAGGTTTTTATTGTTGTTGTTGTTTGTTTTTTTTGTCTTTGAGACAGGGTCTCCCTGTAGCCCCAGCTGGCCTGAACTCATAACGTAGATCTCACAGAGATCCACCAGCCTCTGCCTCCGCCTCTGGAGTGCTGGGATTAAAGGCGTGCACCACCATGTCCAGCAACCTCCCAGATTTTAATTCACCATATAGTAACTAATTCTTCCAAGTGAATGTACTAGAATTATCAGTGTATATCAAAATGGAGTCAAGTATGGTGGCCCATACCTGTAATCCCAACACAAGGAGGGAGGCGTGACAGGAAGACCCCCCTCCCCCACAGGAAAGGCCGGCCTAGAGTATATAGTGACAGCCTGTCTCACAAAAACAAAGCATCAGGGGATGGAGAGATGACTCAGCAGTTAAGAGCACTGGCTGCTTTTGCAGAGGACCCAGGTTCAGTTCCTAGTACCCACATGGTGGCTTAACAACATCCATAACTTCAGTTCCAAGGAGACTGATGCCCTCTTCTGGCCTCCGTGGGCTTTATATGACATGAGTGCACTTAGCTGTAAAATAATAAAATATAATTTATTTTTAAAAAGCATTTTTGGGGCTGGAGAGATAGCATTAAGAGCACTGGCTGTTCTTGCAGAGGACCCAGGTTTGATTCCCAGCACCCACATGGCAGCTAACAACAGTCCTTAACTCTAGTTCCAGAGGATGTGACACCCTCTTCTGACCGCCATGGGCATTGCATGACATAAGTGCACTTACATGCATGCAGATAATATACCCATACGCATAAAATTAAAAAAATAATAAATAATAAAAAAAATAAAAAATAAATAAAAAGCATTCTTGGGGCTGGGGAGATGGCTCAGCGGTTAAGAACACTGGCTGTTCTTGCAGAAGACCCAGGTTCGAATCCCAGCACCCACAGGGAAGATAGCTTAGTGGATAAAACATGAGAACTGGATTTTGGACCCCCAAGACCCATGTTAATATTGGTGGGGAGGGGCATGGAGGCCTGTTGGGTAATCCTAGGGCTCAGAAGGCAGAAGCAGGATTACAGGGGAAAGTGGCTAGCTACACTAGTTGCATCAGCGAGCTCTGGGCTCAATTGAGAGATCCTGCCTCAAAGAATAGGTAGAAAGCAATCGAAGATCCTGAAGTCAGCTTTGAACTTTGACATGCATCCACACACACGCTAGTGTGCCCAAATACAGAGACACATGCAAAAACAAACGTACCAACCAAAGTTTTCCAAAAAGAAAATGAAAAATATTGTCTAGACTGTTTTTAAGGTACTAGAGATTGAACCCAGGCTCCTGTGCTAGGGAAGCATGTCACCACTCGCCTACAGTGCTAGCCCTAGAATAATGATATAGAGCCGGGTGTGGTGGTACATGCCTTTAATCAGGAGGCTAGGCAGGTGGGGCTCTGCAAGACTGAGCAAGCCAGCAAGCCTGCTCTACATAGTGAGTTCCAGGACAGCCAAGGCTACAGGGATACAGGGAGACCCTGTCTCAAAAAGACAGAAAAAAAAAAAAAAGGATCTGGAAGACTGCATTCTGTTAGGGAAAGGTTCAAGAAACACGTGGAAACAAGTTGCATATATCAGATGACTCAAGTTCTTTATAAATTATGGAGAATGAAGAAATATAGCAAAGATTAACAGTATTTCTGCCTGGTCAATGAGATTATAGATTTTATAAGTGTCTTCACTAAATGTATTATATGTCAGTCAGAAACAACTTAAAAGGAGAAAAGATTTGTTTTGCTTGACAATTTCAGTCCATGGCTAACTCTGGTGCATCCCAGGCTGACCTTGAATATAAGGTCCTCCTTTCTCAGCATCCCAAGTGCTGAGACTACAAGCATACTCCATCATACCCACTTGTTCCATTGCTTTTGACGTGAGGTGAGGAAAATCATCATAGTGGAGAGGTGTTGAAGTGGTGATGAAGTTAATTCTTTATGGTCTAGTTTCCTCACAATGACTAGATCCATAAAGGGAGACAAAAACCTTCAACAAATCAGCCTTGTAGGGGATATAACTCTGTGTGTGTGTGTGTGTGTGTGTGTGTGTGTGTGTGTCTGTGTTTGTGTGTGTTGCTAGGGATTGAACTGAGGGCCTTGCATGTTCCAGGCAAGGCTGTACCACTGAGCTGTGCCTACAGCATTTTAAATTTCTTTTGTTTTTTATTCTTTACTTATTTTCATTTTATATGTATGAGTGTTTTGCCTACACGTATGAAGGTGTACCACTTGCATGCAATGCCTTCAGAGTCTGAAGAGGGTATCAGATCCTCCTGGAACTGGAGTTAGGGAAAGTTATTACCCACCTTAAGATCTTTTTTTTTTCTTTCTTTTTGAAGCAGGGGCTCCGTGTAAGCCCCAGCTGTCCTGGAACTCACTGTGTAGACCAGGCTGTCCTTGAACTCACAGAGATCCGCCTGCCTCTGCCTCCCAAGTGCTGGGACTACAGGCGTGGGCCACCACGCCCGGCTAAGATTTTTTTATTTTTACATGTATGTATTGTGTCTATGTTAATGAATGCCACAGGTCCCATCCCCAGACTGTGTTTTTAGTACATAGAAACAGATTTTTCAGTAAAGGTGTTACAAATGGTCAAGTCTGGGCTGGGTGTTTTTATGTTTCTATTTTTCAAAAAAAAAAAAATTTTAACATTTGTTTTGCGCATGTGTAAAGGTGGAAAGATAACCTAGCAGGAGCAGGCACTTCCTACAGGGACATAAGATAAGGGATGTGCAACTGAATAGAATCTGTTTACATTAAGGGGAAGAGGAACTTACTCCATTGTTGGGTGTGTGTGTATTGCATATTATATGTGCAGATATGGCAAGTGCATTATTAGAAAAGTGTGTGCATAGCCTAAACCAAGATGAGTCCCAACTTACTAAAATATTCCCTGTGCTTGCCTGCCTCAGAGGTGGTGCCTCATGCCTATAATCCTTATACTCAGGATTGCTATGAGTTAGAGGCCAGCCTGCACTGCACTACATCATGAGTTACAGGGTCTGGCTATGTGGCCAGACCCTGTCTCACCGCCCCCCTTCTTACATATCATCTTACAGCTTGTTTAATTCTGTTGCTTTCTGGTCATCAAGCCACCTAGACCAAAGAAAATAACCTTAGTATTTCTCAACATTAGTACTTTTAAATGATAGCCATTTAAAATAATCCCAACACTCAGGAGACTGGGAAAAGAGGATCAAAAATTCAAGGTTTGCTGGGCGTGGTGGTGCATGCCTTTACAGCACTCGGGAGGCAGAGGCAGGTGGGAGGCAGAGGCAGGCAGATCGTTGTGAGCCAGCCTGGTCTACATACTGAGTTTGGGTCAGCTGGGACTACAGGGAGACCCTGTCTCAAAAAGACAAAAAAAAAAAAAAAAAAAAAAAAATTCAAGGTTAACCTGAGCTACCTGAGCTACCTGGCCAGTTTAAGGGCTAAATAATGAGACTTTGTCTCAAAATTTTTTTAAAAAATGAAAGAAAAAACAAACAAAAAAACCACTTCATCAAATACAATTTTATTTTATTTTATTCATTCTTTTTGAGACAGGGACTCCCTATAGCCCCTGCTGGCTTGGCCTGGCACACGCTTTGTAGATCAGGCAGGCCTTGAACTCAGAGATCCACATGCCCCTACCTCCTGAGTGCTGGGATTAAAGGGTTGTGCCACCACACATGGCTCAAATACTGATTTTAGTACAATAGTTTTAATTTTTATTTAACAAACAGTTCATGAAACCTCACCAAAACTTAATCTTCTCTAACCCTTAAGGCACATGAAGATCCCATGTATGACATCATTCGAGAGAATAAAAGACATGAAAAGGATGTAAGGTGAGGCCGCCCGATGATACCACCTCATCTTCAAATCTTAAACTATATAATATAAGAGGAACAGTTTGGAAAACACAGTGCTTTAACAGAATGACTGAGGGAGCAAGACTTGTCACTGATGAGCCAATGTCAGGGTGTTGGGCATGTGGGCTCCTATTAGGGTTCACTGAAAGCAGCGGGCATGCATATACCAGGTGTGATGGTACACACCTGTCATACCATCACTCAGAAGAATCAGAAGTTCAAGATCATCCTTGGCTGCATATTATTTGAGGCTAGCCTAAGATACATGAGACCCTGTCAAGAAAAAGGGGCGGGGGGCATTAGCTTTCCAACTGGAAAACTACTTATGGTTCTAGAGGAGATGGATTACCATGAAACTGAGCAGAGAGGATGGTTCATTAAGGGCGCATTTGCAAGCTGGGCGTGGTGGCATAGGCCTTTAATCCCAGCAGCTGGGAGGCAGAGGCAGGTTGATCTCTATGAGTTCAAGGCCAGCCTGGTCTACATAGTGAGTTCCAGGCCAGCTGGGTCTGCAGCAAGACTCTGTCTCAAAACCACCAAACAAATTTAAAAAGTGTATTTGCAAGAAGTTATAAGGACTGTGGGAGCATGCAGAAATATTTAGAACAATGAAAAGGGTTGTTTTTAGTAGTTGTTCATGATTCCCGCTCCCCCATACTGCTTTTAAGTGAAATGTTTGTTAATAATCTGAAGTTAAAAGTCACAGCTGTGATCAATCTGTTTAGGATACAGCAGTTAAAAAAGTTACTGGAGGATTCCACCTCAGATGAAGATGCGAGCAGCTCCACTTCCTCAGAATGTAAAGAGAAGCATAAGAAAAAGAAAAAGAAAGAAAAGCATAAGAAAAGGAAGAAAGAAAAGAAAAAGAAGAAAAAGCGGAAGCACAAGTCTTCCAAGTCAAGCAAGAGTTCAGACTCCGAATGACAGTGTTGACTTACCGACATTCTCAGAAATCACACACTATGGCCAAAGAACAGAGAGCTGCCATCTAAGAGTGACAGGACAAAGTCCCAGGAGAGGACAGACACCTGGCACCACTGTGAACTCTTACCACCTTCCAGTGATGGGCTGACCTCAGCAGAGCAAGTGGTCTTGCAAGTGCTGGCTGGCAGCAGCCACTGATTCCAGCAGAGAGCTTCTTCAGTGTCCTCTTCTTGCCGGTCCCTGGGGTCTGATTGCTTTTGAGAGGCCACCTTTAGGGAACAGGACTAAGGGAGTCTGAGGAAGCACTCCAGGCTGCTGCCACAGCTTTTGCTCTCCAAAAGAAGAGTGTGGCAACTCAGTGGACTTCATGCTTGACCCCTCTCTGTGGTTCAGGATAATAAAAGTTCATGATTTATTTTTTAAATGTAGTTATTTATTATTATTAACGTGGGCAAGTGGTCCAAATCTAAAAGTAATGTAAGCTTTGATCATGTAAGCTCTTCTTTTTCAGAAATACCTCACTGTGTACAGCCAGGTATGTACATGTACCTCTAACTCCAGCCCTCTGGGAGGCTGAAGCAAGAAGACTCTTAGTCCAGGGCCAGTCAGCACTACATAGCAAGACTCTATGCTTAAAGAAAAAAGAAAAGGTATCTCATGGATGATGAGACTAGTACTTTTGTGCGTTCAGGTGCATGAGTGTGTGTGTGTGTGTGTGTATGTGTGTAGGCCACAGGACAACCTCAGGTATCATTCCTCAGGCACTGTTCCCTGACTTTCTTTTTCAGAATCTCACTGGCCTGGAGCTCACCAAGTATGTTGGGCTACTGGCTGGCCATTAAGCCCCAGGGATCTACCTGTCTCCACCTCCCCAGCACTGGGATTACAGGTATACAACACCTTGCCTGGCTTTTTTACATGGGTTCTACAGATCGAACTCAAGTCCTGATGCTTGCAAAGCAAGCACTTTACCAACTGAACTAATATCCCCAACTCTAGGGGTTTTTTTGATATACAAATGGCTTACAAGCTTAACTTTATTAACAGTGTGAAAAGGATCCTTGTCAGTCAGGCTTGGTGGCACACCTTTAATCCCAGCACTCGAGAGATAGAGGCAGTCTGATCTTTGTGGCCTTGAGGCCAGGCTAGTCTGTATAGTTCCCCCTGTCTCAAAAAGACAAAAAAAAAGTGGGGGGTGGGGAAAGGACCCTTATCAAGTGCTTGCTGCCTTATAAAAAGTACAGGTTTGGTGCATCCCTGTTCAGCATGGAAGAAACCACAGCGATCTGGGTCCCGATTCCCTATCCGCAAGTTGGGTAACCTCTTCAGAGGATGGTGTGATAAGAATAGGAGGTAGGAATTGGCTAGGCAATTACTGTAAAAAGACCCCAAAGAAAAGTAGCCAGTTTCTTGGCTAAAAGACAAAATGTCCTTGGGCCTCTTAGCAACACACTCCGTTCCAAAGGCCAAAAATGTCGAAAGTATTTGGGAGCTCTTACCTAATCCTTAAAAGATTTTAGGGTTACTTCTTTAGAGGGGGGGAATGTTAGAGCAGCAAAAAGCCCCATTTAAAAAAAAAGTACATGAAGTTATCAGAAAAAAGTGATGGGGAGATATGGGAGGAGTTGGAGGGGAGGGAGTGGGCATGGATTTGATTTCCCTGTAGCTGCAGCTGGCCTGGATTCAGTAATGGAGACCAGGCTGGCCTCAAACTCAGTGATCTGCCTGGGATTAAAGGTGTGCGCTACCACACCTGGCGATCAAAATACCTTATATGCTTATATGAAATTCTCAATAATTTTTTTTTTTTGTCTTTTTGAGACAGGGTCTCCCTGTAGCCCCAGCAGTTGTCCTGGAACTCACTATGTAGACCAGGCTGGCCTCGAACTCACAAAGATCCACCTGCCTCTGCCTCCCAAGTGCTGGGATTAAAGGCGTGCGCCACCACGCCCGGCAATACTATTTTTTAAAAGTGCAGGTTTGGGAGGTAGTACTCATGGGTACTGCCCAGCCCATTGTCCCCTGCAATATATTAAGTAAATTCATTCCATGTTTTAAGAAATGTTTCAGACTTATATTCACCTGTCATTTATTACTTTGAGGACAGTTTTCTGTAAACATGAAAATTTGTGTGCCTGCATTATATTTACTGTATCTTAATGCCAGAAATCCCAAGGTTTTCATAGAAGTGCTAACTCAGAAAATAAAAAGCCTAGAAATAAATTCAAGGGAAGCATTACACTGAGTCAGCAAGTCACATGACAGGATACATTCATAACTTCCTGCCTCATCTTGTGTGAGCACAACCCACCCATGCTCCAGTGTAGCCTGGGCTGAGGCAGAGGTGAGGGATGGTGCTTGCAAGCAGAGAGAAGGTGTGTCTCATTCCTCCAAAGTGCAGCAGGATCTTGCTCAAAGGTCTGTATCTAGCAGAGACTATTGCCACTTCAGTGCTTAGGCCCTCCAGACGGCACAACTCCATCTGCTCCTTCTCCAAGGAACTGTATTACCTCTCCCAACGGACATGATGGTGCTCTGTAATCCCAGCACTCAGGAGACTGAGGCAGAAAGGACACAAATGTGAGGACAGCTTCTATAATATTGCAGGGTTTTTTGGCTTATTTTTTTTTAACCAAATGAAATATTTAATATCAGAAACAAAAAATTCTATACATAAAAGGGTTTAAGAAATACAAAGTGAGAGCAACGCTCAGTACTTGGGGCACTCAACTGTCGGTGTAATGGAAGATGTGCCCTGTCCAGCATTTTTGAAGTCCCCATGGATGAGCTCTCAGATGAAGTTGGTACATGTGAATCTGAATGCTCATTGAGTTTTGTAGTACAGGAGTAGTTTAGAACTACCTATTGTATACAGTCTTTTTCTTCCACTCAGAATAGTCTTTAATAGTCTTTTCCTTTTTATCTAGGTTTCTTTATCCCTATAACTAAATCTGAATTTTTAACAATCATATGTCAAAGTCCTTTTCCTAAGCCATTTTTCTCTGTAAACATTACTAGGAATAAATCAATAAAAACCTGATTGATGAAAACAGAATTAAGCATTAATATTACCCAAGCATATTGAATTTTGGCATTAATTTTCAATAACTTTTACATTTTAATCAATTCAATATAACCATATCTACTGTCTTTAAGCTTAATTTTCTCAACTTTTCTACAACATACTTTCCCAGCACTCTGAAGGCAGAGAGAGGTGGATCTCTGTGAGATTGAGGCCAGCCTGGTCTACATAGTGAGCTCAAAGCAAGCTGTGGCTATAGTAAGACCCTGTCTCAAAAAACCAAAAATAACCAACCAACCAACCAAACCCAAAATAACTACAAAAGTCTGTACTCTTTTAACATTGCTTTCATACATTTCTATAGTGGGACTATCTTTTTCTTACCATAAGTTCCTTTTTTTTTTTTTAGTTAATACTTATTTTAAATATTTTATTTATTAGTATTTTTTTTAACAGCATAGAGCAGGGGTTTATTTACAGAAGAGTGGGCACCCCACATTTACAGCTGCATTGTAAAATCCACACTCAAATACAGATCCTGTGACCTCCTGACAGCCACACAAAATGGTGTTGTCCACTTATATATGGTTTTCCCTGCCCCTCACATGCAGCAAAGGTCAACAGATTGGGTGGGAGAGGTAACTGACTCCTCCCTCAACTCCTTGATGAGTGTGGGAAGGAGGTGTGACTATAGTGGTTCAGAGGACATTTCCAGTTAACACTCCACTCCTTCTTCCATCTCTTACATTCTTTCTGCCAACCTCTTCCACAAAAGTCCATGAGCCTTGGAAGGGGTGCTAGGTGTGGGATGATCTTCCTCCCATTGTGGCAAGGCATTGAATTTTCAGGTCTCTGCATCATCTGTTTTCCATGGGCTGTTGGCCCATTTCAGTGGGATTCCAACTATAAAAATACAAACAGGAAGAAGCAAAAACATCTAAACAGTGACTGCTATAATAACCTGTGGGCATAAACACAAATGCTTGGATGGTACTTTAGCAGTATCATCTAACAAAGCAATTACAGTGACTTGCCACTTGGGGCCTATATTCTCTCCAAATTGAAGGGGTTTTTTTTTTAGTTTTTTTTTTCTTTTTTTCTGTTTTTGAGACAGTTCCAGGCTGGGCCTCAAACTTGCTATGTAACTGAGGATGACAGATCTTATCTCAAAAGCCAGAACAACCAATTCCAGCCCAGAACAGACACTTCCTCAGTGCTTCTATCAGTAAATGCTCTAGGTCTTGGGTTTGGCATGGTACCCTTCAGAACACACGCAGTTCCAGACTTTTTTACAGTGCTGGGGATTGAGCCCTTATGTATATCTAGCAAGTGCTCTACAATCAAGCTATGCTATATGTTTGCTTGCTCAAAACTAAAAGGCCTGTTGAGTAGCCATGCCTACCACTTACCTCTGTGCTCCTTCCTTGGCAACTTTACCCAGACTGATAAATAAAAATCACATAGGGCTAGCCAGGTGTGGTGGTGCATGCCTTTAACCCCAGCATTCTGGAGGCAGAGGCAGGTGGATCTCTGAGTTCAAGGCAAGCCAGAGCTACATAACAAGACCCTGTCTTTAAAATTAAAAAAAAAAATCACACCAGACTAGGAAGTCAGGGATGGTGGTGCATACCTGTAAACCAAGCACTTGGTAGTTGAAACCAAGTGTCAAAAGTTCAAGGTGCATTTGGTCTACATAGCAAGTCTTTTTAAAATTATGTATAGGTTTGGAGAGATGGCTCAATGGTTTAAGAGCACTGACTGTTCTTGCAGAGGACCCGGGTTTGAATCCCAGTACCTACATGGCAGCTAACAACCATCTGTAACTGCAGTTCCAGGGATCTGACACCATTTTCTGAACCCCACAGCCATTGCATGACACAGGTGCACTCATATCCATGCAAACAATACACTCATACACATAAATTTTTTTAATTATGTATGTGTATATTTATGTACATTGAGTGCATATGCCTCCAGAGGCCAGAGGCTTCAGATCCCCCAAGAGCTGGAGTTACAGGCAGTTATGATCTGCCCATTGTGGCTGCTGGAAACCAAACTCAGACTTTCTACAAGAGTAGTACAAGACCTTAACCTTTGTGGTACATGTGACAGCATGCACAAGCCCCATGCAAGCTCAAATCAGGAAAAAAAAAAAAAAAATCCCAGCATGGAGAAAATGGGTAAGAAGTTCCAACACCCACCTAAGGAAATTGTGACAACAGATGGCTGCTGGGAGGAGCCAAGTCAGTCTCTTTCAAGCATGGGTGTTTTGGTAGGTTAGCCAGGCTCCGGTGGCTGGACCCACACTAAATGATGTTTGGGGACACAAATTAAGAGTCTACAGGCTATTCTATAGGAGATATAATAAGAGTACATTCAATTGGGTGGGGATCACTAAGGGG